GGAGGCAGGCAGATCACTTGAGGTCAGGAGTTCGAGACCAGCCTGACCAACATGGTGAAACTTCATCTCTACTAAAAACACGATAAAAAACTTAGCCAGCCATGATGGTGCATGCCTGTAATCCCAGCTACTTGAGAGGCTGAGGCAGGATAATTGCTTAAACTTGGGAGGGGGAGCCAAGACTGTGCCACCACACTCCAGCCTGGGCAATAGAGCAAGACTCCATCTCAAAAAAACAAAACAAAACAAAACATAGACTTCACAGGCAGAGAGACTGAAGTTCAAATCCTGTTTGTGGCTAATAGCTGAAGTTTCTTCAGTAAGTCTACCAAACAGTTCTGAGCCTCAGCTTCCCTACAGAAAATGCCTCTTGGACCTCTCTGAGGAATACACAAGAATAAGTCTCTCAATGAATTTCAGTTCCCTTTTCTTTGCATTTCCCACTCCACCTCTTTCATCTGCTGTATTACAAGAGCATGTCCTCAAGCCTTATTCTGCTTGGTGCCTTTCTAATTGAGGATGCAAGTTTTGTTCAGCATTCCAACACTATCACCTCTAAATGGAGAAGTAGGAAAAAAACCAAACACTCAGTTATCAATCCAGGACATGGTTAAGTAGAAATCACTCAAGTTTTGAAAAACCAAAACACACAAAGCAAGCAAAGATCCGGAACCAACAGTCATTCCATATAGTCATCCTTTGACTGACAGCTGTTGAATGCTGGTCCTCTCCCAGACACTGTCCTGGGTACCAGGCTGCAAAGATGAATTAGCCACAGGCCTTGTCTATATTATTCACCGTAAGAAGTCATACATACTGCAAAGACCACATGATCTGGTTTGGCTGTGTCCCCACCCAGATCTCATCTTGAATTGTACTCCCATGATTCCCACATGTTGTGGGAGGGACACGGTGGGAGATGACTGTATCACAGGGGTGGCCTCCCCCATGCTGTTCTTGTGGTCATGAGTGGGTCTCATGAGATCTAATGGTTTCATCAGGGGCTTCTGCTTTTGCGTCTTCTTCACTCTCTCTGCCTGCTTCCACCCATGTAAGACGTAACTTGCTCCTCCTTGCCTGCCACCATGATTGTGAGGCTTCCCCAGCCACATGGAACTATAAGTCCGATTAAACCTTTCTTTTGTAAATTGCCCAGTCTTGAGTATATGTTTATCAACAGTGTGAAAACGGACTAACACAGCATAATAAACTAAACCCTGCCTGGTGTATACTGTGTATGAAAAACTAGAGTCAGTGTCAATTGTACTAGAGATCAACCGAAGTCAAACACTGACCTTATGAGATGGAAAATTCAAGTAAGTTTTACATATATACACACACACACACACACATTCAAAACCGTAATAGCATAAGCATTCATTTAAATGTACATAAAAAATGGCAAAATTGAAACTAGACATTAAGAGAGGCAACAATCTTGAAAATGAGATCAAAGAAAGAGGCTTTAACTAGAAGCCTAGGGACCTGGCATTGCCACCAAGTAGCAGAGGAGCCTGTCCAATCGATGTTCACTTATAAAGCAAGAGAAAAACTGAACTATGAAGTTCTGTATAATTCAAACAGGCTTATTTTCTCAAGCATGAGAATGTATTTAAAGTAGTAAAACACATTTTAGCCAGCAGGGGGCAGATCATGCCCAAGGAAATCTAAACAGGGCGCCTGTGTCCAGCAACTCCTATTTCTATATTCCATTTTCTCTTAATTCCCACAGCTTCAACCCCCACTTTAAAAAACTGCTGAAGAGAGCTATTAAAATCAAAACACATTTTAATGAGAAATCTATTCTTAAAGTCTCTGTTTCCTGAATTAATTTAGATAAATACAGTTACTCTGTTCACATCAGCATTGCATAATTGGAGCTTTCTGTTTAGGATCCACCCTGCTCTCCCCCTTATTTTTAAATACCATGAAAATGCCAACCTCCTTCCGTTTTAATACATACATACACACACACACACACACACACACATATATATATATATGCACAATGATCTCATTTGATGTTTCGCTTTCTTCTTTAGCGGCTCTGTCTAGCAAGTGATGTATTAGTCATGCTCTCATTTTTTCCACTGACTGTAATAAATACAAGCAATTATCAATGGCAATTATTTAAGGATCTAAGTGTGGACGCCAATTTGATCTTTTAAAATAGATTGTTCTCTTCCCTTCTGTTAATCTTCTTAAATGATATTCTGTATGCTGAAATAATGATCTTTAAATTCTAACTCTGGAACTTTTATGAAGTTATTTAGAAGAGTCCACAAATAGTGGTTCTAGTCACAGATCAGATTGTTTTATTGGGTATGTGAATCTTAAATGCTCTGTTTCTATATTAAGCAGCCGCTTCATTTCAATTAACTGCAAGCCATCATGATCCCTATCTGTTTAACTGACACAGACAGACACTCTATCCAAGCTGTTTCTATAGCCCAACACATTATTAGTCCTGTTAGAATTTAGGTAACGGGAAGACAGTACATCTGCCCATGTGCTCCCTCCCGTTAGACAAACACACACACACACACACACACACACAGAGAGAATTCAGCTGTTCATATACATGTAATTCCATTTGTTAAAAAAAACAAAGAACTACAAAAAAGATAATGGGTACAAACTGCTAGTGAGAAGAACACCCTCCCCGCAAATGGCTTTCTGTGTGTGGCACCTGCAGATATCATCATAGAGCACCCACATCAAAGGGCTGTCGGGGTTTCAATGTGCTGATGCCTGGCAAGCTCTTGGCACAGAGTCCAACACACAGAACCCGTCAGAGACCGTGAGCCATAATTTCTTAACTCATCCTCAATCAGCTCTCACATGGGATACTGCGAACACTCTCCATCCATTTCCCTGCCCCAGGGTTTCAGAGGGGCCTCCTCGGGCACCTCTGTCCTCCCCCGACCCCAGTCCCTCCCCACAGGAGCAGGGGGGCTGCTCTAAGCGCTCTGGGGTGAAAGGAGAAAGGCAGAGCCTATTTGCTTTTCTCCACCATCTGGGAATCAGTTTCCCACAGTCATCATGTCCACCAGTTACCTGGCTGTAGCCATGACCAGGTGGGTCTGTCTGTGCGATTCGGGGCTGCAGTGCTCACAGGCCCACTTGGCTGGGAGTCTTAGGCTGACATATGGCTCTCCATATGTCTCCTGTGGTCTTACATCCACTGAATCGGAAATCCGGAGACAGGGGCCTTTTTAGTGTCCCCCGCCCCCCACATTCCCCACCAAATCCAAACCACCCTTTCCTTTCCCTTTCCCATTTCTCTTGAAATAATAGAATAACTATCTTGCCACAAGTTGGGACTAGAAAGCCATCTGAGGCAGATGTCAGAATCCTCTTTCACACTAGCAGCTTTACAAGACTGTGGCTCCTCAGTAACAGCTATGCCCCATGAGTGAACTCCTGGAAGGACAAATGAATGAAGAAATGCTTGGCGCCTCCATGGAAACCTCACTAGAAGAGACTGACATTCATCACGTCTGCTTTGAGCATCACCCGGGGTGTGGTGATGATCACTAGAGCACAGTTCCATAGAAATAATTAACAAGATCCAACAGGATGGCACTAGCATACACGCGATGAGATCAATTTGAATGTTAATAAAAATTAAGAAAATTTATTTATGTATGTATTTATTTATTTATTTATTGAGATGGAGTCTCACTCTGTCACCCAGGCTGGAGTGCAGTGGCGTGATCTGGGCTCACTGCAACCTCCACCTCCAGGTTAAAGTGATCCTCCCACCTCAGCCTCCCAAGTAGCTGGGACTACAGGCATGCACCACCATGCCTGGCTGATTTTGTATTTTTAGTAGAAATGGGGTTTCATCATGTTGGCCAAGCTGGTCTCCAACTCCTGACCACAAGTGAACCACCCACCTCGGCCTCCTCAAGTGCTGGGATTACAAGTGTGAGCCATTGCGCCCAGCCAATAAATATTTATTTAAAAAATATTCTACTACTTTTTAAGACAGTTCCTAGTAATGAATGAACTGATATTGGGGCTCCTAACAGTTTCTTTGTAAAAGTGAGTACGACTCAGCTAAAACAGACATGCCAAGTGCCTTCTCGCCCACTAAAAAAAAAATTGAGGCCTGGCGCGGTGGCTCACGCCTGTAATCCCAGCACTTTGGGAGGCCGAGACGGGCAGATCACGAGGTCAGGCGATCGAGACCATCCTGGCTAACACGGTGAAACCCCGTCTCTACTAAAAAAAAAAAAAAAAAAAAAAAAAAAAAAAACTAGCCGGGTGAGGTGGTGAGCGCCTGTAGTCCCAGCTACTTGGGAGGCTGACGCAGGAGAATGGCGTGAACCCGGGAGGCAGAGCTTGCAGTGAGCTGAGATCACGCCACTGCACTCCAGCCTGGGCAAGACGCCGACTCAAAAAAAAAAATTGAAATAAATACACCCTTAACATACACACAGTGAGCCCCTCTTCTGTGGCTAATTCAAAGGTAAACTTTAAGAGCACCCCATTATTAAAATTGCCTAAATCTGGGAGATTCTATCTAGAGTTATTTTACTGCAGTAGAGAAAAAAGAAACCTTGTTCACACATATAAGCCTTGTGAGTGGCATTGTAGGCTACACAAAACGTTTAAATTTGAAAGAACTATGCAAGATTCCCTGGAAACAGATAGAAGGATCAATGCCTCACCATTGAAATAAAATCACAAGAATAATTAAGGCAAATAAATGTTGTTGTTTTTTTTTCTTTTTTTTTATTAAAAAAAAAAGGAACAGAATGGAATAATTATTCTGAGGATAGAGCCAAAGCAACATGGTCCATCTGCTTTGCTAGTGAGCTCCTTCTAGAAAGCTGAAGTTGTTATGCCATTCAAACAGAAAACTCTGTCGGAGAAATCAGGCAGTTGTAAAAGCTTTCTCGGTTTCATGTCCTAAGGAGGCTGGGGCGCGGGTGCGCGGGTGCGGGGAGGACTCCTTCGGCCGTGGGAAGCCCACTGGCTGTGGAGCTCCGTACCTGATGAGGATGCACTGGTTGTCGTGGCGCGCTTCCACAGCGCAGCGGGGTTAGCACTCGTTGCAATGCGAAGATGTGCGGGGGCATCTCGCCCAGGTTGCGGCGCCGGCTGTACTGGCTCCATGGTGGCATGGCTCGTACAGCCCGCGAATGGGCTGTAGGGGTTCACAGAGGGCCAGGATGGGAGCGATGAGGTCTGCAGAGACAGGGTGAGACAGGGATGCGGTCCACTTCTTAACCCAGGCCACTGGATGAGCTCCAACAAAACCCCACTTCGTGTGGGCCAGGGGGGAAAGGATGGCTTCTTGTCTCCCGGAGCGACACTTGTCCTGCCCTTCTGGAAACAAATCTTGATGTCTCTGGACAATGAATGAAGCCATTTCAAAGGGATGGCAGTTGAGAGGGAAACAAAGAGAAGGGAAGATGGTTGAGGCGAACCCAGGCCCAGATCCCTATTCTCCGCTACCTCGCAATCTATAATCCTTCCCACAGGACAACGGACTGGCCAAGATCGTCTCCTTGTCTCATCAAATGGCTACTGTGAAACCGCATGGTTTGAAAAAGTGATGAGACAGAAAGGAGAAAGAGGTAGCCAGAGGTGCTGCGGGAGGAGAGGAAAGTTACGTTTAATGGGTGCAGAGTTTGTTTAGGGTGATGGGAAAGTTCTGGAAGTGAGGCGGCCCCCTGGTGGCTCACATCTGTAATCCCAGCACTTCGAGACGTGCGAGGCGGGTGATCACCTGAGGTCAGGAGTTCAAGGCTAGCCTGGCCAACATGGGGAAAACCCCATCTCTACTAAAAATACAAAATTAGCCAAGCATGGTGGGTGCTGTGCCTGTATCCCACCTACACGAGAGGCTGGGACAGGAGGAATCACTTGAACCAGGAACCAGAGGTTGCAGTGACCTGAGATAGTGCCCTGTCTCCAGCCTGGGGCGACAGAGTGAGATTACATCTCAAAAAAATTTTGGAAGTGGTTAGTACCTGTGGATGCAGACATTGTGAATGTTCCTTATTATTATTATTTAATTTTTAAATTTTTTTGTCTGGTTTGTTACCAGACACGGTCTTGCTTTGTTACCCAGACTAGTCTCGAACTCCTGGCTTTGAATGATTCACCCCCCTCGGCTGTCCGAAGTGCTAGGTCTGTGAATGTACCTAATATTACTGAATTGTTACACTTCAAAATAGTCAAAATGGCAAATTTTATGCTATGCAGAGTTAGCTACAGCTTTTAAAATATAACATGACTATTTCAAAAATGCTAGGTATCAGGCTGAGCGCGGTGGCTCACACCTGTAATCCCAGCACTTTGGGATGCCGAGGCAAGAGGATCACGAGATCAGGAGACCAAGACCATCCTGGCTAACACAGTGAAACCCTGTCTCTACTTAAAATACATAAAATTAGCCAGGCCTGGTGGCACACACCTGTGATCCCAGCTACTCGGGAGGTTGAGGCAGGAGAATCGCTTGAACCTGGGAGGCGGAGGTTAGTGAGCTGAGATTGCCCCACTGTACTCCAGCCTGGGCGACAGAGCAAGACTCTGTCCAAAAAAAAAAAAGAAAGAAAAAAGAAAGAGCGAGAGCAAGCGGAGAGAGCGAGAGAGAGAGAGACAGCGTGCAAGAGAGAAAGAAAGGAAAGGAATGAAAGAAAGGAAGAAAAGAACAGAAAAGAAAAGAAGGAAAATAAATAGAGGCTACAGAGTTATCAAAGCTTAATGCCTTAGGCCTCTCCATGTGGACACAACTATTCACTTGCACTTTTGCAGGAAATATTAACTCTGTTTGGTTACCTGGTTTCCAGGCTCAGACACAACTGGGGAAGTCAGTCAGACAGGGGTGGGAGCAGAGAGTTCTGCAACCACCACCAACCACCAATCAACTTTCATAAAGCTCATGCAGTGTGTCTAGGGCTTTATGGGGTGTTACGGGCTGATCCATGCCTTCTCCCCAAATTCACATGTTGAAGCCCCAGTCCCCAGTACTTAAGAATGTTACTGTGCTTGAAGATAAGGGCTTTAAATAAGTGACTAACTTAAAATGAGGCCATTAGGGTGGGCCCTAATCCAATCTGACTGGTGTCTCCGTTAGAAGAGGAAATTTGAAGACACAAAAAGACACCAGGGATGCCTACACCCAGGGGGGTGGCGGGGGGCAACAAAAAACAACAAGCAAAACTAGACAGAAAGTCCAAACATCCTGAGAGCCTCTGCACCATATTATAGCAATTTGTAATATTTTATATTCATAGTATCTGCCAGGAACATCAAGCAAAGTATTGTTAGGTTCAGTATAACTTTTCAAATGTAAATAAGTCCATACGGGTTGAGTATCGCTAATCCGAAAACCAAAATCTGAAATGCTCTAAAATCTGAAGCTTTTACAGCAACAAGAGATGGCTCAAAGGAAATGTTCATGGGGGCATTTCAGATTTCAGATTTTCTGATGAGGGATGCCCCAATGGTAGGCATAATGCAAATATTTCAAAATCGAAGAAAATATCAGAAATCCAAAACACACTTCAGGTCCCAAGCGTTTGGATAAGAGTTACCCAACTTGGAATGTGTTTTGGAAATAATGTGAAGCAAAAAATTTAAAAAAGGTTAAAAACATAAAAGATATTACCTCTGACCTAGCAATTCCACTGCTAGATACGTATCAAAAAGAAGTGAAAGCAAATACTCAAACATTTGTACACACATGTTCACAGAAGCACCATTTACAACAGCCAAAAGGTGGAAACAATGTCAAGGCCCATCATCAGACGAATGGATGTGGCATACCCATACCATGTAGTATTACTCAGCCACAAAAAACAATAAAGTGCTGATCCATGCTACAATGTGAATGAGCCTTGAAGACATATTAAGCCAGACACAAAAGTTCACATATTCAGAGTAGGTTAAATCCATAGAAACAGAAAGATCGGTGGTTGCTAAGAGCAGACGGTGACAGGAAAGGGGAGTGACTGCTTCTCTGGTACAGGGTTTCCACCTGAGGTGATAAAAATATTGTAGAACTAAGATACAGGTTGTATGGTTTGAATGTTTGTTCCCTCCTAAACTTGTGTTGAAATTTAATTGCCATTGTAACACTATTAGGAAGGTAATTACAAAGGTGATTAAGAGGTGATTAGGTTAGGCTCGGCACAGTGGCTCACGCCTGTAATCCCAGCATTCTGAGAGACCAAGGCAGGCGGATCATGAGGTCAAGAGATTGAGACCATCCTGACTAACACAGTGAAACCCTGTCTCTACTAAAAAATACAAAAAATTAGCCGGGCGTGGTGGCAGGTGCCTGTAGTCCCAGCTAATCGGGAGGCTGAGGCAGGAGAATGGCGTGAACCCAGGAGGCGGAGCTTGCAGTGAGCCGAGATCGTGCCACTGCACTCCAGCCTGGGTGACAGAGTGAGACTCCATCTCAAAAAAAAAAAAAGAGGTGATTAGGTCATGGGGCTCTGCTCTCATAATGGATTAATGCCATTATTGTGGGATTGTGGGAGTGAGTTAGTTATTACAGAGTGGGCTCCTAATAAAAGAGTAAGTTCGACGTGCATTCTTTCTGTCTCACACTCAAGCTTTCTCGCCATGTGATGCCTTAGGCCATGACACAGCAAAAGGGTCCCACCAGATGCCAGTGCCATGCTCTTGGACTTCCCAGTCTCCAGAACCATAAGCCAAGTAAACTTCTGCTCCTTATAAATTACCCAGTGTGTGGTATCCTGTTACAGCAGCAGAAAGCATACTGATACACAGGTGTTGGCTGCACAGCATTGCGAATGTACTAAATGCCACTGAGTTGTATACTTTAAAATGGTTACTTTTCTGTTATATTAGTTTTACCTCCTTTAAAAACAAGATGAGGACCAGGTGCGGTGGCTCATGCCTGTAATCCCAGCACTTCGAGAGGCTGAGGCGGGTGATCACCTGAGGTCAGGAGTTCAAGGCTAGCCTGGCCAACATGCGCCCGGCTAGTTTTTTGTATTTTTAGTAGAGACAGGGTTTCACCATGTTAGCCAGGATGGTCTCGATCTCCTGACCTTGTGATCCGCCCGTCTCGGCCTCCCAAAGTGCTGGGATTACAGGCTTGAGCCACCGCGCCCGGCCTTTAAAATGGTTACTTTTATGTGAAATGAATTTCACCTTAATTAGAAAAAAAGATCTGGTGCTTTTATGAGTAAATTCTCAGGTCCTTGGAAACATCCACTCTCTAGAAAGCCCATTTTGTCCTGTCGGAGCATTATGAGTAAGAGTTGGCCAGAAAAAAAAAAAATACGGAAGTTGGAAAAAAAAAGTGTCCTACTCCTTGGGATGCCTCCATCCTCTATCAGTGCCTGGACCAGAGACACTCCAGTGCCTCCTTCTACGCAACATCTGCAGAGGTGAGGGGGCAGGCAGACAACACTTGAGGCTGTGAGTGCCTGGCCCTTTCCACTACTTTGTTTAAAATGCCATGTTTGTTTTCTACCTTTTTGATAGTTGTTTACATTATTGTTGTTTTTTTCTGCTAAGTATCAAAAATGTTCATTTGTACTGTGAAATACATTCTCATTGTTTTCTCTACTTTGACAGGACTGTCACTCTTTATGCAGTCAGGTAGGTCAGAGGGAGCTGACAAGCAACAGTCAACACTCAGCCAAACAATCAACATGGTGGGCTCAATTAAGCACACGCCAATCCTCTTCCTCAGTTACAAGCAGAGGGTGAAAGCCACAGTCATGGGCATTAAGCTTATTATTAAATTTAATTAATTCATTATTAGGATATTCACCCATCATTAACACACCTCTTAAAAAAAGATATGCCCACATCATTTTGCATGTCCCATTCATGACATGTTTGTACGGTTGCTGTAAAATTCTAAGATGAGCCCTTTTTTCTTAAGGCACTGATTTACTCATAAAACCATCACTAAAACGCCTTACACAGCTTCCTTTGAAAGAATGATCATTTCTTTTAAACCATATTCCTCCTCCTGGTTGGGGAACCTCACTAGCCATAGAGCATCCTTTTAAGATACTGCTTGTTCTGACAGTGTGGATGACATGGGCTTTGAATGAGGGTAGAAGACAAAGTGGCATTAAGCCTGTTAGCAAAGGTGAAGACGCAACATCCAAAATGGTCTCATGCTGGGCTCATGTAATTGACACCACATCTTGTCCAGTGAAATAGTTTTTAAATGTTTCAGGATGTCAATGTGGTAGCTGTGGCAACTAGAGGCAACACACACAACCCAGAAATCAATGTCCACAGGTCCTCTCCACCAGAATCAGCAGTGCTTTAGAAGATAAATAACTTTTTATTTTTATTTTTTTGAAACTGAGTCTCACTCTGTCATCCAGCCTGGAGTACAGTGGC